GTAAGTCCCTGTTGCAAGTTACCTTATTTTTCTTTGGAATTGGTATGATTTCTTAAGTTTTCCAAATTGTATGTAATGTGTGAGCTACATAAGATTTATTAAAAATTTGACAACAAATGTAGCAGAGCTATTCTGAGCATAGTTCAACGAGCCGACCACTTCATTGGTCTGGTCCAGAGGCCTTGGCTGCAGTCACTGGCTTAAAAAACGACATCGCTTCCCGTTTGCTGAACAAGAAAGTATCATCCTGTGTGGTACTGCCATCTTGAAATGAATTCATCATATCCATGTGTTCACTTCCAAAGTCCAGGCTGTCAAAACGACAATAAAAGTCATTTAAGTCGTTAACAAAATTCCTCACGTCCTCAACACAAAAGCATTCTCGCTTATGAGTATATCCTGTTATTTGCTTTAGTGCTGTCCAACAATCCTTTGAGTTTTAAGTAAGGAATAATTTTTCGATTTTTTGTTTGTATTGTTGTTTTTTTTACCCTGATGTATTTTTTCCTTCAATAACTTTTCAGCTTTAGTTAATTCTCGATGGGTAATCTTAAACGTGGTTTTCTTGTAGTGTATGGCCTCCTTTATTTCTCTGCTTATCCAAGGTGTTTTTTTTTTGTTGAAAGCTTGGAAGGTTCTCTTTTTTTTTGGGCGGGGGATGCTTTCGTCTGCACAGAACTTGATGAGGAATTGACGGTGTTTAATGGCTCGTCAATGTCCGGCCAAGTGTTTATAAACGTGCCCCAGTCTATACATTCCAAGCAGCCCTGAAGTTTTTCTGCCACCTCATCTGACCACAGCATAGAGTTTTTCAATAGTCTTTGTTTGAGTTTTTTTTATTTTTTAAAAACTGGCTTATAGTATAGCATGGCATTAGGCGGATTCTTAAGTGGTCAAATTCCTCTAGTGGAAATAAACCATGAGATGTGTAGGCCATTTTTTTTATATTTTACCATAACACATGTCCAGAGTTCGGTTTTGTCGGGTCGGGCAAGTAATGTACTGGATGTATGTTGGCATTTAAAGTTGATTTAAAGTCACCCATAACAAGACGAACGGAGTCAGGGGTTTATTGTTTCGAAATCATGGATTACATCCAAAAGTCTCTCAATAGGTCAACAGACAATTTACACCCTACCCGCCGGCATTTAAACAATAATTATGTGGACAGTACTTACAGAAGTCCTACACCAAACCCGTGGTTCTTTAGTTCTTTATTGATTGTCACCTCCAAAAAAAAAAAAAAATTAAATCGTTTTACCTCTGTTCAACCACCACGCATGACGCTCACCGCTTGACAGCTTTTTTTATTTTTTTCACTCTGTGTTATTAATATAAAACATGTTAAATAACGGGAGGGCTGAGTGGGAATAGGAAGCGATCACAACAGAAGCAAAATATCTAGAAGAGACATCCATATTCACGTGTATAGCATCATTAGGTTTTGATCAGTTTTTTTGTTTATCTTCTATATTAAAAAAAAAAGGACAAACTCAGGGGCGTCATTTCAAGGTTTTTTTCAGGGAGAGAAGTGTGTGTGGAGGAAGGGAGGGGGCGCGGGGGGGGCGGGGGTTTGTCGAAACCAAAACTTGGTCGGCTTGTTAAGTTGTTTATTGGATACGCCAGAGTACATAGCAATTTAAATAAAACCTGAACAATTTATGCAAGGGTGGGGTAGGGGAAATGCCCCACCCTGCTCTAACCTATTGACGTCCTTGATGTGTGTGTGTGTGTGTGTGTGTGCGTATTAAAATGTGTATCTTTTATTTGTGCTTTTGGCTGTTAATATCGTATTTATTTTCTGTCTTTTTGATATTGTGTTCAGAATATTATTATTAGTGTTATTATTAAGTTGATTTTATATAGCCCAGTTCCCCAGTCTAGTGCTAGGCTCTCTGCGCTTCACATAACAATTAGCCATTACAGAAGCGTATACATTTATAAACAAAACAAAAAATGGTGAAAAGCTTGCCCTCACCTACCCAAGTACTATCTACCACTGTCTAGCCATGGACAGCTCCCAGCAGCATCGAGCATTGGTTATCAATTAGAGGGTGTGAGAATGAGTCGGTATAGTCCAGTTTGATTGAAGAGATAGGCAGTTTTTAAGGCTGTGATGGTCGGTACATTGCGGATGTGTAATGGGAGAGAATTCCCTTGTTTTGGGGCAGAAGAAGAGAAAGATCGTTCACCAAATGTTTTAGTACGTGTCTTGGGAGCAGAAAGAATACGCATGTCTGCGGAGGAACGAAGCTTTGGGAGGGGTGAATAGACAGAAAGAAGTTCAGTAAGATAGCAAGGGCAGGAACCAGAGATTGCAGCTTGTGATCAATGCATGCCTGTATAGGGAGCCAATGAAGTGTGTGAAAAGGTGGAGTGACGTGATCTCGTTTCTTTGCCTTTAGAACTAACCTAGCAGCTGAGTTTTGAACTTTCTGCATTTTTTTCTATGAAATGTTTTGGTGAACCTGATAGAAGAGGGTTACAAGAGCATACACTAGTGTTTTTGTTGCGCCAACTGTGGGGTAGTGTCGGACGGAACTGAGATGACGGATAGTGGTGTACGCAGAGTGACAGGTGTGAGAAATATGATGATGCCATGGATGCAGACAAATGAATCAACACATTGGGCTGAGAGCCTCCGATTTATTCAAATCGGGAAAACCCATTTTTTACACCCCCCCCCCCACCCAGGCAGTCGCCTAATGAGACTTTTTTGGCTGCAAAGCAAAAAATGGTGCTGAGTATCTCAAATGTGCCAAGAACGTCCAACAGGAAGCGGAGGATTTTATAAATGCAGGGAATGTCTCCGACAATGAAGCTGCTTCATGCGCGATTGCACCACAGATTTCGCCTGGCAATAACATGTCGCTGTGATCCAAGAAGAGTTCTTGAAGTCGTCATGAAACGTAGATGGCACCTTCTACCAGCTCGGAACAGACCATGGTGTTTTTTTAAGCAAAATTTATTCCAGAGGTGAGTTTTTCGTTCTGCACGAGAAACTACTCACACTGCAATCCGCTGCCTCTTCCTAATCACTAACCGGCGACCAAAGGTTAACTCAATGGAACAGCACTAGTAGTAGCAGTGCTACGATCGCAACAAATCGTGGCCAATTTAGAAAAAATAAACTTTTGTGCTATTCCAAATGCCAAAAAAGTGTATCTTGTTGTAACACTATAGCCATAGCAACTAAAAAAAATTCACGTCTGTTTTCATTAATATAATTTTAATTTAATTATGATTAGCCTAGGCCTTGACAGAAAGTAGCTACGAGAAATTCGTGGTTGAGATTTCCTATTCAAATTTAGTCTACTTTGATTATTTACATTTTTAATAACATTATTTTTAGCATAAAATTCTATAACTTACTATTACTATGAGTGAGTATACTAAGTCACTTAGACTAAGTTACTTTAATTTAATTGGAGATAATTTCAGTTATATCAAATACAGCATACTGACTAATCACTGACATCGTATCGATGTTAAGTGTACTACCCCTTTGAATAAGACATAATAATCCCTTTTTTTTTTTTTTTTTTTTTTTTTAAGTGGCACTTTTTTTTTTTTTTTTTTTTTTTTTTTTTGTAAGGAGCACTTATTTTTACATTAAACATTTGCGCGACCCATCGTTGAGAAAGCGTGAGTTTAGTAGTTTTTATTTTCAAGTTATGGCCCATTGTGAAGTTATGGTCAACGGTTCTCAACTGTGTGTCGCGACCCCTTTTATGGGGTCGAAGGACCCTTTCCCATGGGTCACCTAAGACTATCGGAAAACACATACACTCTACATTTATGAAGTAGCAACGGAAAAAAATCGTGGCTGGGGGGTCGCCACAACACGAGGAACTGTATTTAAGGGGTTGCTTAATTCGGAAGTTTGAGAATCACTGTTCTAGGTTGAAAAAAAAAAAATAACTTCATTCAAAAGAGTACCATGTTGTTACGAACCCATAGTTTTGATACAGGTGTCGTAAGTCATGTTTTCCCAATTTTACCGGAAACACTAAACACCTAATTTATTTAAAACTAACTTTGGTAAATGCATTTCGATAGTTGGTAATCCCCTATTTAAGCGCTTTTTATTATTTCTAAAAGCATTGAATATGATTGAATCATTTAATTTGATTGAGTAGCCTAATAATTAATTAGGCCGCTAATAATTATAAGGGAGGCCTATGGCCTATAGCCTATAGCCTATGCCTATATTTATATATTATTGGGCTATAATATTGCCTATATTATTAATATTATGAATGGCGAAGGAAGTAGGCTCCCTGCCCGTCACTTAAGTTAATTATAATTTATTAATTACCAACATTTTATACTAGATGTGTGGGGAGAGCAATTTAGGGAGTTAATTTGGTGCTGCAGTGAGTTTGAGTAAGGCAAGGTTGCAGTCAGTAGTTACGTCCTACTACTACTACCTCAGCCTGGGTACCATAACCATAGGCCATAAGTTATATTTGTAAGCCATAACATAATAATAATAATAAGTAACCCACCTAATAATTTCAATTAAAATAAATAATTAGCAATGTCATTCAAAGTCTGAAAAGTAACATGTGCCCTGTTCTTTTTATTTGTTCTTTTTTTAATCATTTTTATTTTTGCCTAATTTCTGCCTTTCAAATTTTATTGGTTAGTTATTATTTCTAGACTTTATATAAAAAAAAAAGAGCTTTCCTGATGTCTTGCAGGACTGCATGTATAATAAAAATTCAGTTAACAGTAGAATTTACTTAATAAAAATGCTTTATACTGTTTTTTAAATAATATAAAAGTAAAAGGGGTAAGTGTGCATCTTATTACCTAGTATATAGGCCTAATATGTGCACAGCCCTTCAGGAATTTGTAATTTATTAGGCCTGTAGTCATGAGAATATTATTGTCTGTAAAGGTAGCATATTATTTCTATTCTTCTCATATCATAGGGAAAGGGGGGGGGGGAGGGGGCGGGCTCATAGATTACCGATGGATTGTTTGCCACAGACAGACCTCAAAGTGCCACATATTTTTTTTATAAACTGTTGGTTGGCAAATATCTTTCGCTGGTAATTTTATGCAACTTGTGAACAAAATTGACCAGGTTATTATCTTTGAAGAAACTGACATGGGATTAAATCTACAGGTAGGATAATATGCTGGTTTTGCCAATGAGTAATGTCCTGAAAGTGTTGTGAGTTAGCCTCCAAACGTTTAGAAATAGTCCTTTATTATAATTTGTTTACATACCTAAGCTATTATCATTGCTTTTTGCTATGTTAGTTTTTTTAAATTTTATTATTTATTTATTTTTTCCCTTAAAAAGAAAAATGTGCTAATAAAAAATGGAATTCAAAGGCTGTCTAGAAGTAGCTGGTCTGACTGAGGAATGGATGGAGTCAAATGAAATTGAAGGTATTTTTATGGTCACACATTAATTTTTTTTTAAATTAACAGTTTAGATCGCATTATATTCTGTAAATTAATAACTATCACTTTTTAATCACTACTCAAGTAGACAGACTACTGCACATGATTTAGTACATTCTATTTTTTTTTCTTTTATAAGGTTGTTATGATTTTAAAAATCTTCAACTCTCCATATCCAGACCCAGGTGGTTAGATGTTTTTGTTCTGTCAGATCCATCAAGGCCAAAGCGATGTGGCACGGTACGTTAGAAAAATATCCCAACCACAAATTAAATAGGTAGCATACGTTTTTAAAAAAGGATTGAACTATGAAAAGCAATATTAAATTGTGTTGAAAATGCCATTGCCAAATAATAAAATATTTAAATTTTGTGTGTGTTTGGTCTGGGGAACCAAGGAGGCAAGAATCATGTTTGTTCCGGTAGTTAAAAAATCAATCCTTGTATAAAATTTATGACGGACGCATTATATAAACTTTTTTAGATGTGTCATTATTTATTATAAATACTGATTAAAATATAAATGATTCAGTTGTTTATTTTTCTTTTAATATGTTATTTTTTATTACCCGGTAATTAGGTTAGCTGGAATTTTTCCGGGCACCAGAATCCTTCCCCTTTGTGTATAGCAGCAACAGTAAAGAGAGAACCAGAGTGCACAGTAAGACTACGCTCAGGGTTTTTAAAACATGGCAACACAGGTATATTATCATTTTATGTGTCACCTTTTGTGTTAAAATTGCAGAGCTTAAAAGTGATGCCGATAACATTATTTTAATTTGGTGAGAAAGCTTAACTTATTTCACCAGGCACAATATTGGCACATTTGGGGTTGAGAAAAGCAGTCTTTCTAAAATGATCTCTTTTTGTTTCAGGGGGCTAGTATTGTTAAAGTCTGAACATTAAGTCTTGCTGTTATCACAAGTTTATTTATTAACATTAAATACTCAGTGCAAGTTTAGGGAACTATTTTTATGTAGCTCAGGGACGTTACCCTGTAAATGCCCAATGGACGTTACCCTGTAAATGCCCAATGGACGTTACCCTTTAAATGCCCAATGGATGTTACCTTGTAAATGCTCCCTGGACATTACCCTGTAAATGCTCACTGGACATTACCCTGTAAATGCCCACTGAATTTACATTAAAAAGTTTTTTCTTTAGACTTCGTGTAAATGAGCCTACTCCTGGTGTCAAATTAAGTTATGCATGTACGTTTGGAAATGTAAGTCTTCAGTTTAAATTTAGTGAAGGTCACAGGAATTAATCATTTATTTGTTGTTCCCAAACAGATTTTGACGCAAAAGTTAAGCTTTCTTTTGAAGGTCTACCCAATTATATCCGCAAATATTTGAGCATGAACTCTATAATAATTGATCTCGGGAGTGAAGTCCCTACTGAAAGCGATCCACAGCCGACACCATGTCAAAATTATGAAACATTTAGTTCAGAGGAAATGTCACAGAGCCTGGGAGCTACAGTTTCAGTCGCTAGTGGACGCTACATTGGTAATTCATTTTTATCATTATCATTTAGAACAGGAAGTTTGGTATTCTGCATTTAAAAAAAAAAAATATTTTTAATGTTAAAAAAATGATATACAATCTTATTCTATTCTATGGAATCAATATAGTTAATTATTTTTTCCCAGTATTTTTCTCCCTAAGGGCCGCTCTAAATGGTGATGTCAAAATAATTGAAAAGGATGGAAGTGTCCAGCAGGAAAACATCATGGAACTTGTGAATAGTCTCAGTGATTCAGATAAAAGGATGATGATTTCAGTTTCTGATGCTGGCTGTGAATGGAGAGTAACCGGAGAATGTGAATTTAACTTTGAATGCAGCTCAACTATAGAATCTGATCCTAAAAGCGCTTGTTAAACCCCAAACTGTCATAACGTGGGATGTTCAGATGTAGTGACTGCTTCTGTGTTATTATGGCAGATTATTACAATATTACGGTAGCAAATTAATATTATATTTATTAATAAATATTTACATGGATACATTGTAATAGCTTAATTTTTTTTTTCATTTACGATGTTGTTTTTGGAATTTTGAATTTAATTAAGTTTCAGGGTTTGAAAAATGTGTACTGTAAATGAATTTTCAGGTTTCATGAAATTTTTATAAAGGGATTTCAGTGTTCACAGCTTTCAGTGAGTGGCACCCCAGGGCATCAGTTGAAGTTCTAATAGTGAAAGTAGTAGAAAATAGTACTATACAATGTACTAGCATCAGGCAAAACTCTATAATAAAAATTACTGGAAATATAAAAAAAGACTTCTTATGTCTCTATCTAATGAATTAATTGTATTTATTTTATTAAAACTTAAGAAAACCAAAATAATTGTTTAAATTTAACTGTAAGACTATTTGGTGTCAGAAAATCACATTGACATGATCAATTAAATTGGGCCTAAAATTCATGTTAAGTCACGTAAATACTACGTTAACGGTACTCAAACTTTTCAGGCATATGGTAGATTTTGGTTTTGGGCACACCCACAGGTTTGAGACACACCGACCGTATTGACTTAATGGCTGTACTACAACCCACATTGCCACTATAGCGTCCTAAAGACAACATAGGTCATTTTTTTATCCTGTGAATTTATGATTTGTGCACATTTCCCTCAGATTAATTTTGTAAGGGCTCTATAGGTTATAAAAGCATCTTATCCGAACAAAACTTCTTAGAACAAATCATGCGGAACAATTATTTGATTAGTATCAAATGTTGTAGATAGCTTAATTATGACAAATAAATGTCAATTAGAATGTTTTGCAATTTCAACCATGAAATTTGTCTTTAATACATTCCTTCAGTTTCCTCATTCATATTAATACGTTTTTTATATATCTTTTTTAAAATTTATTTTATTATCTTGCTTGTTGATATTTTTTTTTAATCCAATAGCTTTGACATTTCAATGGTAAAAAATTTGAATTTTTTTTTAATTTTTAGAAATTATTTCTATTATTTCTGAAAACTATTTTGTTTTGACCCCAAAAAGGAAACAGTTTCCTGAATGTGTATTATGATGAAACACATGTCTGACCAAGATAATTTCATCAAATTTACTTCAGAGTACATGATATCAAAAACATTATAATTAATCATTGAATGATAATATCAAAAACAAGAATGGTTAATTTTTTATTATTTATTTTAATTGATGTAACTTGCATGTATCCAACAGGAATTGGTAAGAGAGGATTTTGTAAATAAATTAATAAAATTGTAATGATGTAATAACAATACAGATTTAAGCGCTCGCAGATTTCAATCTTCTTATTTAATTTGGTACTGGTAATAAATTTGTCCCTTTTTGTTCTGCAAGTGTAATGAAAAGGTTATAATATTGGAATAAAAATGTTTGTAAATTGTTAATTTAAATTCAATTAATTTTTTTTCTTCCTTACTTATTAAAAACCATTATTGTAATATTTTATTTTATTCCATAGTTAGGATTCATATTTAGTGTAATTTAAATGTTGACAAATTTTGTTTCTGTATAGTATAACTTATGTAGTCATTAACTTTAACCGAAAAACAATTGAAAAATACATTTTTTCTTTCAATCAAAGTTTAACCATACACAAAGTAAATTGTTTGTGTCTTATAAATCAACATACCAAATATTCATGTGAAAGTCTTGAAATTTTAGCTGTAAACTTCATGTGACCTTTGGACGTCCCCTGCCACCTTTGGGTTTTTTGCCACCCGCATTCAGTGTGGAAGAATTAATTTGCCCCGCGCGACAGCTCTGAGTGTGATGGCATTTATGTACATGCAGTTATTCAAATATTCTGCAAGAGTTATCCTGAATTTCTGACAGTCCACAAATAGCATCCTTACATGTATTCACCTTAACATTTCTAATGTCACCTTGACATCTAATTTCACCTTGACTTTGACATCTCTAATATCACCTTGACATCTGTGAAATCGATAAATTTTAAATACTTTCCAAGGCTATAAAACTCACAGAGGTCAAGTACAGGTTAGGACTCACCAAAGATTTTTGAAATATATATAATTTTTTTTTTTTATTTCGTGGCAAAAGAAAAAAAAAGTACACCGAAGCCGTTCCCATGCGTTTCTGGATGACTCACTTATATGTTTCATACTGTTCCTTTGTGTTTTCACATGTGAACTCGCTAGATATTATACCCCCCCCCTCAAAAAAAAAAAAAACAACCCCTTCCCCCACCCCTATTGCACCAGTCCATTTTTGGGGCCCCCCTCCCTTCTCTTTGCATACGAACAAGTCACCTTTCTTGTCCCTGACCCTTCCAAATGCATTTTTTATCTACACCAATAATGATACCCCCCCCCCCCACACTTTTTTTTTACACAGATTTCCTTCTCTGTCTGGCGTAGTCCACGAAACATGCACGGCAAGACGTTGCACAGTTTTCATAATATTATTATTATTTAATATATCCAATACATTCATATTTAATACATCCACAAAAATGTTAGAATTCGCCACCAAAAGGCACTTTGACCTACATTACGTGTTGACCAACCTACATGGTGACCTTCTTCCGTGTTCTATTTATTTTTTACCGAGGCTTTAATTTAACATGCAATGTTGTCTGTTCAGTGACGTAGCTAGAGTTCAATACGCCAATATAGAAAAGATTTCCACCGGGGTGTACCGCCCCCTCCGCTGCCCCCTTTCCCACACCCCCCCCCTCCCGAGCCTGTTTTCTATTTCAAAGGCGTACTTGTAAGAATTTAAAATATGTCACCTGTGGGAAATCAAATTTCTGACTAGAAACATTCTTAGGACAATGAGCTAAACCCGAACGAAATAATAACGACACAAGCATAATTGGCACGATTTATTGAATTGTAAACATAACACTTCCGGGGAAATTCACCCATTCCGGTTACAAATTAAAAAAAAAAAAAAAAAAAAAAAAAAAAGCTCTCTCTAGCCCTTTTGTTTCCTCTAAATAATTTCACCAAGTCAAGGACTTTTTACTAATAGTTAGTATGGGTATGAGCCAGGGTCAGTAAATCTAGTTAAGGGCCGGTAAATCAAGATAACTTCACTATGAGCCAGGGCCGGTAAATCAAGTTAATTCATGGTCAGAAGGTGATTGTATTAAGAACTGTAATGGGAGTAACGTTAAGTTATAGTATAGGCCTATCTATAGTTGTTTTTACATTAAATTTACTTTATTTATCATTTTCCTTTCCTGGTCTGCACACCTGTCAATCACTTCATCAAAATCAATATCCTTCAACGTATCACTTTCACCTGATAGCCAGACCAGAAAGCCTCGACTGTCTCATGATGGATCGTTCTTGATAAATCTTTGTTTGAAAAGCTCCGCTCACATCACGCCGCAGAAACACAGATCGTAAGAAACAATTAAAGGCTTAGCGAGACTGGCGAGAGCATTGGAAGAGATTATAAGATGTCCGATTCAGCTATGAATTTCAAAACATCAAATTCTGACCAGTCCGTGACTTTGTTAAATGCAATATCAGCTGCCCTTAGGTATCTTCCAAGCCAAGGTATTTCTTTGAAAAAGAAATTTCGAAATCGGTAGGAAAATTACACGTAACACCGCAAGACCAAAGGGGAAGACAACTAATCATGAATGGTTCAGCTTCCTGCCTCCATCACAACCGACGACGCCGTCTTTTGGAGTTAAATGATATTTACGGTTTTCAGGTTTTTTCATTCTTATGCACGGTCTCTATATCATATGCTTTAAACTCGTATTTTACTTTTAGAGTATTCAATTATTTACTATGTAACTCCCATTAAGAAATATAAATAACTATAAAAAAATGGTCAGTTTTATTTCACTTTTATAACTTATACTAAAATTATATTCACTTTGGATTCCATGAAGTCAAGTAGTAAAAAAAAATGAAATAGTCACCGGTTAGTAAAGTAATTATGGCTAAATCTGAGGACGAATGCCACGGCTTCTTTTGGGTGTTTTAATTATAGTTAGGGATCGATTTAGGGTTCAGGTTAGGCATAGGGATGGATTTAGGGTTCAGCTTAGGCATAGGGATCGATTTAGGGATATATTCATGAAATTCGATAAAATAGTGACATTCATCCTCATAATTTACCATAATTATAAATATGATGGTTTAGTATATCTTCTAATAATCGTTACAGCTATGAGGCCATCTATAAATGCCACCACTGTTTGGGGGGGGGGGGGGGGGAAATTTTTTTTTGGGATAGGGGGGTAAGAAATGTGAAATTAATAACATTAAATTACACTGCAAAATTATAGACATTTTTATATTATTTTAAATAGCAAATATAGTTATTTAATTTTTAAACTACCATCAATCAATGAGAGAATCAGTTCAAGTATGTGATGTCAGAAAAAAGGTACTAATCAAGTCCACCACAGAGGAGGAGAATCCAGGTGTTGTAATTTTGGCAGTCATGAGAATTTATGTTGAAATTAATTAATATGACATGTGGAGATGGGAGGCATAGAATTAGGGCTATGACAAGAAGTGGGATGATGGAAAGAAAAATGGTTTGTGGGGGAAGGGGGGGATGCGATCTTGTAAATGTTCTAGGCCAGGGATTCTTAACACTTTTGCCTTGCTGCATGCCCTCTCAAATTTCAAAAACAATTACTGCTGCTAGTCAACAGGCATAAAAACAGGTTTTCTTTTAAAGGTAGAAACAACTAGTGATAAAAGCAAATACAATTTTCTGGGTCATTAGCACCTCAGGGGGTGCATACACCGCTGTTTAAGAGCCACTGTTGTGGGGAAATGGTTATGACCTAGGTAAAAGGTTAAGTAATTGTATACCGGTATCAATGGGAGGTGAACGATTTTAAGGTTTTGTACAGGACAGTAGTGGACAGTGGGTTTGCAGATGTTTGTAATGGCAGTTTTGAGGGGTGTCTAACTTTTGTGATGATTTGATTGGGGGGGGGGGGGGGGGTGGTCAAAATGAGAAAAATTTGCATGACATCATTTATAGATGGCTCGTATCTAGTAATATTTGATTTTATAATATAGTATTAGTTACTTTCAGTTTCAGTAAAGAATTTCAAATAATAAATTAGTTTTTTTATTACCCGGTACTAAAAAGAAATCAAACACAGACTGACATTTTATTTAAGTAGAACACCTCAATGATGGAAGAAGTCTAAATCTACCAAAAATGGTGCTGATAATGACAAAAGATTGCTGCAGATTAAATTTTAATGTTTGCTTTAGTACCGGTAGCCTCCAGTAGTCTCTAATAGTCTGTAGAAGAAGCCTTCAGTTCATTAAGTTTTAATATTTGTCATTTAAGGTTGCTTGAGAAGTCAAGTCTTTTTTTAAAATATGAATTTAAACAAAAATAAATATTTTTTTAATGATTATTATTATTGTAGAGTGTGTGGTAGTGTGGTCTTTGATTACAGTAATGGCACTTGAAGAATTAGTTGATTAATAAAGATATTTCATCTAAGAATTATAGTTGTGAAGTGTGTATAATTAAAACCCCTAGACAACAAAGCCAACGAACCTTTTTAGTAAGACTAGGTTTGTAACATTTGGATGATGAGGAATTCTATTGCATTTTATGACACAAAAATAAGATTTTATGCTTTTTTGAGAAATTATATTAAAATTTGAAAAAGGTGTCAATATCTTAGGCTAAGGGCACCACTTATACTGTGTTTAACTGGTACAAATCTGTTTTTTGTACATATGTCCTGGTAAGTCATGAATTGCTAAAAAAAAAAAGTGAATGTGTTTTTTTATTCTTTATATTATCTTCACTTTTGTTCTTGTGTTTCTTACTGGCAAAATCTTCGTTAGGGTAATTACCCACTTCCCACCATCCTATCGAGCTGAAACTGGGCAAATATACTCATTGCTGATGACAACACATTCTGTCAAATTTTCAGCCCTACCCCTAACCCCCAAAAATCAGTATTTCCTGTTTTTTAAAATACTTGTTGGTGCCGAAGAAATGCCGAAAAATTAATTAAAGGAAATACAATCTAACCCCTACCGATATGTAAAGTTTTTTTATGGCTTCACCCCCTCAACAAAAGGCATTGCAGTAAAAATTGCTTCTTAATAATTGATAAATCACGTACAATAACATAAATGCAAAAAAAAAATGCATTTAAAATATTTTTACGAAAAATTTTGTTTTTAGTTTGTTTTTTTCCAATTATATTTTTTAAATGTGTTGTTACTTTTGCAGGTGGTGTGTGCCTTAATCAAGCAATAGCTTGGGGGTGCAGAGTATAGAAAGGGATTTTGAAACTCTGGTGTAATGTTTTCCAAAGTGTGAGTCACTGTGCCTTGAGAGCTGTAACTGAGGTGCCTTCAAATATTATAACATTTTATAAATTGTCATTTCGATTTTCAATCCAACTAATAATAAAGATGATAAGAGGCCTGCTGCAAAAATGTAACTAATTTAGTCGTAATTGTTTGCAGAAAAATTACTAGAACTAAAATGTAGCTTTTTTATCTTAAATTCTTGTTTAATTTATTTTTTACCCAACCTCTCATGTTGTGCTTGATAAACGTGGATTCAGCAACGATGCAGAAAAATGTATAAAGTTTGGGAAATTGTTTGAATTTTTCTAGGACATTGTCAACAAATAAAGTTTTAAAAAACGATAAC